CTCCAGTCAGGTACACTCATACTTCCTTCTAACGTTTGGACCCCTACTAGTAGGTATTCACGGCACAGCACAGTTCGGGAAGTTTGCTAAGGGGAAGCCTGATTTTGGCACTCTCAAGTAGCCTGCTGAGTTCTCAGTCTGTACTCCAGGCAGAGGCCAGATCAGTCGCTCTCAGACTGTCTGTAAGGCCTCAGTCCCTACCCTACTGTAGGGCAGAGTTCTACCCCTGAGAATATGGGAGGGACCTCACATAATCCCAATTAGGGTATTGGGTAAGGCTTGATTTGGGGAAGCTCATCACCATGAGGAGGCCAGATCCAGGCACTCTAGGCAGGTCTGCTGATTTCTCAGCCCCTACACCAGGCAGAGGCCAGATCAGGCACTCTCAGGCAGTCTGCTGAGGTCTCAGTCCCTAAACCATGCAAAGGACAGATGCAAACACTCTCAGACCATCTGCTAAGGTCTCAGCCCCTACTCTACTGATTTATTTTTATGAGTGTTTTGCCTGAATGTATCTAAGTGCACCTGTGTTGTACAATCCCCTCCGTGGCCAAAAGAGGACGTCAGATCCTTTGGAACTGGAGTTATGAATGGTTGTTAGCTGCCATGTGGGTTCTGGGAACTGAACCTGGGTCCACTGCAAGAGCAGCCAGTGCTCTTAACTGCTGAGCCATCTTTCCAGCCCTTGAGGCTCATGTAACCCAGGCTGGCCTCAAACTCATGATCCTCCTGCCTCTGCCTTCCAAGTATTAGGACTCCTGGCATGTGTCACTATGCTTGGCTGCTGTCTTTTTCTTTTCAGTCAACATTTTTTTTTTTTTTTTGGTCTTTTTGAGACAGGGTTTCCTTGTAGCTCCAGCTGGCCTTGAACTTGCTGTGTAGACCAGACTGACCTTGAACTCACATATATCCACCTGCCTCTGCTTCCTGAGTGCCTATCAAGTGCTGGGATTAAAGGCCTCAGTCAAAATTTTGAAAATTTATTTTCAACCTACAAGAGTTTGATTTAATTTAAATTCAAAAGACTAGATGTATAACTCAGGGTAGAGTGCTTGTGTAGCACCATGCGCAAGGCCTTGAGTTTAATCCCTAACACTGGAAACAAATAATCCTCCCCCCACCCCTGGAAAATAAAACAAAAACAAAAACCTATGTTGGGGAACTTCAAATTTCCTAAGCAAATTTTTGCTGGTCATTGTTGTGGTGATGTATTTTGCTATTGCTGTTGTTTTTTAATTTTTGAGACAGTGTTTTGCTATGCAGCCCAAGCCAGTTTTACAGCTTTATGTGCTTTATTTGCTAACATAGAATCATTTGGGTTCTGGGTTTGGTTCTGTCTAGGCTGGATATGGCAGTGTATGCCTGTAATTCCATCAACTCTTGAAGTTGAGGCAGGAGATCAAGATGACATATCTAGATGACACAGCTGATTTAGAGTCCAGTCAGCCTGGGCAAATTAATAATACTTTGTCTTAAAATAAAAAACTTTAAACTGAGCCTGATGGTGTATACCTTTAATCCCAGCACTTGGGAGGCAGAGGCAGGCAAATCTCCATGAGATCAAGGCCAGCCTGGTAAACATAACAAGTTCCAGGCCATCTGGGGCTATAGGGAGACCCTGATGCTCCCCAAATTTAATGGGAGTCAGTGGCCGAATTCTCACCTAACATATACAAGGCCCTAGGTTCATTCTCAGTAGTACTCAAAACAAGTGAACAAAAAACCCCCAAGTCTTGGGTAGGTGGTTTTTTGGGGAATTTTCTTCTTACAAAACAAGGGCTTACCATGGTCTCTTCCAAATGTGAACTAAATTAACCTCACTCCTCAAATGATTTGGCATTTTCTGCTCTTAAATTATAGAAGGAAGAGACTAGTCTCAAAAATGATTTTGTCCTTTTCTAGCTGCCTTCCAAGGCTCTTGGAGCCACTGTGCATTCAGGCCAATATCCTTAATCCTGTGTATATTTATTTATATTTTTTTGTATTTGATTGGGGTCGCATGTGCCCAGACTGGCCTTGAACTCTTGAGGGTCGCTGAGGATGACCTTGAACTCTTGATCCTGCCTCAACCTCCCAAGTGCTTGTATTTATTACAGGCATGTGCCACCATGGCTGGTCCTAAGACACACTCCATGAAGTTAACCCTAGAATAAAGATATTCTTAGAAGAGAATTTTCCATGGTATCCAGCCAGGTTTCACTCGGGATCTTGATCCATACTAAAATCCATAGGTATTTCTTTAAAAATTTTTTTTAATATATTTGTGTGTATGTGTATGTGTATGTACACATACACACCATAGTGTGCTTAGAGGGGTCAGAGGACAACTTCTTGGAGTCAGTTCTGTCTTTATGTGGGTTCAAGAGATTGAATTCAGGTCATCAGTCTTATAGGGCAAGGACTTCACTCATTGGGTGATCTGAATCACCTCCCTTCCCCCTGCCCAGCATTTTTTTTCCCCAGTTCAATTTTCTATTTTCCCTTTAAACGTTATCTTAGATTTAAGGTTACTTTTTTTGTTGTTTCATTTATATGTGACAGGGTCTCATTATGTAGCACTGGCTGGCTTGGAACTTGCTCTGTAAATGAGGCTGGTCTTGAACTCACAGAGATCCATCTGCCTCTGCCTCTGGAGTGCTGGGATTAAAGGCAGGTGGCATCGCGCCCAGCAGTTTTAAGGTTCTATCTGTTAAAGACTGCTGTTGTTAAAAGACATGGCATAGTAATCCAGGGAAGAACTCTGAGTGGAACCCTTCCTCAGCTTTCCAGTTAGGCTGTATGCCCCTGGAACTAATCTTTCTGCATCTTGATTTCCTTATCTGAAAAAATATTTACCTTATAATGTAGACATGATTAAATAGATGAATGAATAACTTAAAACTTAAGAGATTGCTGCCGAGAACATAGTAATGATCAAAAGATAGTTCAAGGCATTATCATCCTATTTTCCATCAAACCAAACAGTATCTTCCTAAGCAGCCTGGGGTTTATAATAGAAAAACAAGATAATTGTAAATGAAAGAACTAAACATGCTCAGGAATGTTACTGTATTTGGTTTTTTTTTTGTTTTTTTTGTTTTTTTTGTTTTTTTGTTTTTTTTTTCTTGTGTGTTGTGGAACGCTATCTTCTGGGCATGGCATGGGCATTGCCATCTTGAAATCTGAGCAGCTGTAATTAACCCAAGACCTTCTCAAGACTAGAGTTGCTAACATTCCCTTATGGAAGGGAAGGAGGGCTCACAAGGCAGCACACAAAAATATATAAGCCATTGATTGCTCAGGGGGCTTTTCTTCCATGGGTAGCTGCCTGTGAGCTGCCCATGCTTCTCTAAGCCTTTAAATTCACTGGCTCACCAAGCTAGACTTGGGTGGAATAATTTCCTTGGTCTCCTGAATACAGATTTGTTCAAGTCTCCTCAAAAAAGCCTGAGATCAGGAATCAAGCATCACTGAGATGATTTATGAGTGTAAAGACACCATAATGTACATTCCATTCCTTTGTTGTTTTTTCTGTGGCCTGAACTCAGGACTTCATATATGCTAGCCAAGCATGCTACGTCTGATCTATGACCTCAGCTCCCTAGTCATCCCTGAAGATGACTGTATGTAGACATGTACCCATTTATTTAGAAAATAAAAATTACTATTTGTCCCATCAGCACTTCAGACTCTCCTTTAAAGTTTCAATAGTCTCACATACTTTTTAAAATTGTTTTATTACAGAGGAACACTTCAGAGTTGTAGTTTTGAAATAAATTTTGCTATGATTAAATAGAGAAAATATATTCAGAAAGTATAAT